TCAATCGGACGGATTGATGGTCCCGTTGAATCGACGCATAGGGATATGTGTAAGTGCGCAACTTAGATTGCGTCTTACACGTGTCCTCGCGGGACGTTCATCGAGCCCGGGATCCAACCGCCTAATCACTTCGTAATGTTCTGAGTTAAGCAAGATGCAATGATCACAAACAGCTCGATAAAAAAAAACGAGCAGAGACAAAGACAGGATTATCGATTGTGCAAAATCCCTATTCTACACACGAGTGCGTCGAATGCGACCAACAAAAGCAAAGACAAGGGTTTCTCAGCAAAAAGATAGGCAATCAAGCATGGCATCCATACATCCATCCATTCCGTAATCATACACATAGCACCTCAAAGATGGGAGAGTCGCGAGGGCAAATGTATGCAAAAACCCCAAGTTCAAATTCCGAGAAACTGAAAAGAACGGGCAAACTACTTGGAACCGAAATCAAAACTTATGTACACAAGACAGGAGGGAGAAAAGATAGAAGAAACAGCAAAACCGCATCCATCAACCTCTACTCTCTCTTCCTCTCTCTTCTTCTCCGATGCGGACAGTCCGTCGTCGTGAACCAACCCACGAAGTCGTCACCCCGCTTAGTCCTCCTGCACCCGTCAGGTTTGCCCGCGCCCACAGTCCGTCGTGGCCCGCGTCAACCCCGCGCGTTCGGCACCAGATCATCGGGTCGCCCGACTCCTTCTCTACTCACGTCTTACTTCGCTCGTGTGTCGACCATTCCTGATCGCGCAACCCCTAGCTTCCAACAACTGGTTAAGAGAGCTAACTAATCGCGCAACCGAAATTTATAGCGTGCATGCATGCGCGAAGAACATGGAATTACCAAGACTTAGAGGGAAGATTAGAGAGGGAGCGCCTACGTTCTGCATGACCGGGCCGCGGCGTGGGAGACATAACCACTCTCCACGCATCGATCTGAGCATGCAGTCCGTAGTTTCAAAAACGCAGCAAAAAAAAAGGGAGGAGGGCGGGAAGGACGAAGAGCAAGAAGAAAGATACAGTTACAATGGCGCCAACCCAAGATTACAGTTACACACCCGATTAAAGGCGCTGACTAATCAAAATTTCGTTGCAGCCGCAAAAAGAAGCGCGTAAGCAATTAAGGGCGCCGCGCGGCAAAAGAAAGTCCTAATTACAAAATTCCTAAATTCCTAACTAATGCGAAAAGCAAAAGTACAGGTTCCGGGAAGAAAGTCTGAAATTCCGAGAGCCATCGGGGCTCAACAAAATTCGAAAAAGATTTGAAAGAAAAATTCAAAAAGAACAAGGCAAATTCCCGCGTGATGTCCGCGCCCAAAAGATCGAAACCGAAGCGAGAGAAACGACGTCAACATTTATTAATCGCGCGCGCGGAGGCGCGCCTTCCATCCAGCCGACCAATCAATCAACCGACCATCCCAGAACACGCCCAGCTCCGAACCCAGCCATTCGAAAAGAAGCGACGGAAAGGACAAAAAAGAAAGGACACTGATGCAATTTCCCACCGATCCCGATCTCCCGTATTTGGCCCAACCTTCCCAACTTAGGACCCCTCGTTGCAACCGCGCAAAAAGTCGCGTGTTACAGAAAGTGGTTCATCACAGTAACACCTTTGAAGAGAACATGCACTCCTTGGGTAGGCGTTCCATCCTGTGGGTAATGCGGTGGAGAAGATGCATTCTGGAATTGGAGGGGGCCAGGGTGGGAGAGGGGGAAGTCACGGAGCAAATACGGCTACTAGTTCAGCATGAGATCACGGCGCAATGGCAAACTGTCAAGGAAAAAATGAACCAGGCGCACACGGCAGTGGACATTGACAAAATTATCTCCCGGTTTTGCGACTGGCTGGGAAGGAAACGAGAGGGCTGGGTGGCAAAAGTGAGCTGGACAGGAGACAGGCTGTATCAGCGTCAGGACAGGCCGCAGGAACCGTCAACTGGAGCATCATCAATGATAGGGAAGAGGGGACGGGGCCGCAAGAGGGGCAAAGGGTAGAGTTGGACAAGGGTGGACCCCAGGGAACCGTTAAGACCTGCTCAAGAATTCACTGATCCTTTCCGCTGGCCCTGGAGGAATGTCTGGTGGACGGTATCTGATCATCCATATACTACAGTCTCACCTGCGCCTCAGGTGCTCCTGCGGATTTTCTTGGCATAGACTTCATAACTACAGTCAATTTTGATGATCGGTGGCGGTGCCCCCCAGGTCCAAGATGGCAACTTGTTCTTCCCTCCCAGGCTACCGACGGCAGAGATACACCCTGCTGAGCACATCCCCTGAAACCCAGGGTAATCAATGCTGGCAGGGTCCCAAGTGTTCCAAAATGTTGCTACACGAGAATTTGATGTATTCAAGGGACGGCTGGACCCGGTTTCCGGCAGGTGATGCTCCCCACCAATAGATGGAGCGGCCCACCAGACAAAGCCTCAATCCCGGTGGTTCTCTTACCACCACTGGGATAGAGGCCTTGCACAAAAGAAAAAAAAAAGAAAAAGAAAAAAAAAAGAAGAAAAATGGCTGGGCGAGGCAGTGTGGCTTCACCGTGGGTAGCCCTGGGCCCACTGGCCACCGTCCTCAGGCCGCCTGTGGCGTGCTCATACTTCCCCCGTCCTTCCTTCTTCCTGTCCTTTGCCACAGAGCCCCCTCTGCTCTGTCCGCAGTCCATCGTCGTCACCCAACCAGGCAACCACCCTACGCTCCCGTACTCCCGTACCGTACTACGTCAGTCTTGGCGGGAGTGCAGGAGAGATGCTCCACGGAAGATCTGATCTGATTCTTATTATTATTCCGCCCTTCCCAGATCAACCCCATTACGCCCCCCCCCCCCCCGCGAGCTAGCGCCTTCGATCTGCTTGCCGGGGCCAGGTCCCACTTGCACGAATTAAGCGAGATTGACCGTAGATAACAAAGGTCGACGGCCAGATTCTCGTAATCCGTGCAAGTGGGACCTTGCCCCCGCTTATTGCCGCTTACTTCCGGCCAATTTCTTTTTCCCCTCGCGGGTTTGCCACCTTCCCCTCGTTTGCCCTCGCATCCCTGGGGCGTGGTCCCACTAGCAAAGAGGGTCGGATCGAATGCCTGCATATGGACGTGTTTGTGGAGAGGTGCAGGAAATCAAGATTGAACTGCTTTTCTGCATCTCTGCATAAAACACATCCAGATTCGGGCATTCGATCCGATCCTCTTTGCTTGTGGGACCTCGGCCCTGCAGGAACGAGTGGTACCGACCGATAACGCAGCCGTGAGATGTTCAGATCGGATGGGAGGAACAGGTGCGTATTTCGGACCAAGGGCCCAGCTGCACTACTCGGCATCCTCCAAAATTCTGAAGGAACCTGAACGGGAATCCGTCCATATGCATTCGAAACGTTGGCGGGTTGCGAGTAGGGCAACTGCCGGTAGGCCCCAAGTCTACGCAAGTGGGACTGGGCCTCTTTGCACTACTCTCGAAATGTGCAAAATGAGACTGAATCCGCCGCTAGAACATACAAAGATACATTGCTCCCAAAAAAAAAAAAAAAAAGTACATTGCCATCTTTTTTGTCTTTTTCCTTTTTTGTTTTTTTTTCTCTTTTTTTTCCCTTTTCTTCTTCTTCTTCTTTTTTTTTTTTTTTTTTTTTTTTTCCTTTTCTTTTTTGTCTTTTGTGTATGTGGAGAGTAGTGGAGCAATCGTAGTTGGCGCGCTCCTCGTACCCCTCGTACTCTCGTCCCACTTTTCCTTTTCCCAAATTTCACAAACAAAAACAATTTTTTTGCTTTTCCAATTCCCAACGAGCCGCCCGCGTGCCCGACGTGTACGGATACTGTAGAGGCCGTTGATCTCCCACTGTATGGACAGGAAGGATTGGTTTATCAGCGACTTAGTGCGACTTAAACACAGTGCGACTTAATGCGACTTAGTGCGACTTAGCGGACATAGTGCGACTTAATGCGACTTAGTGCGACGTCGCCCAGACTCTCGTAGAGTGGCAGCGACGTCGCCCATGCTGTAGAGTTACAGCGATGTCGCCCCCCGCCTAGACTGTCATCGATGCGGCGAATGGCAGTTCGCATCGCTCATACGGCCAGCGAAAACATCAGCTGTCAAGTGAAGGCAGCGGTATAAAATATAATATAAAATATATAAATATAAAATATAAAATATATATAAAAAAATAAAAATAAAAATAAAAATAAAATCTGAAATATAATTACATGTTTTCTCTTTCTGTTTATATTTTATTATGTTCTCTGCCTTTTGCCAACATATTTGTACACTGAAAGTCGGTGAAAGTCGGATTCCTCGATGTACCCGCCACACGGCGGCACGGACCCACTGTGTCGGATATAGCCCCATTTTTCGTAGTTTTTACAACAACGCTCTCTCTCTTTCTCTCGCACACACACACACCCACACACCCACACACCCACACACACACGCACGCACAAACGCACCCACCCTCCCACCCACCCATGTGTGGAGACACGCACGGACACTTCAGACATGCACGGACAGACACTTCCACGCACGGACACACACAACATAGATAGATAGATGTATAGGTAGGGGACGGGGAGAGAGAGAGAGAGAGAGAGAGAGAGAGAGAGAGAGAGAGAGAGAGAGAGAGAGAGGTATCTGCTCTTTGGCTGAAGGAGCAAGGCAGGAGGAGGAGAAGGGAAGTGTAATCTCTGAGGTGCTGTTAGGAACGGGTTGGCTGAATCAGGAAGGCGGGAGGAGGAGAAGGGAAGTGGATTTGACAATCTCTGAGGTAGAGAAAAGCAATCACTGTTGCTAGGAACGGGTTGGCTGAAGCAGGAAGGCGGGAGGAGGAGGAGGAGGAGGAGAAGGGAAGTGGTTTCGAATCTCTTCTGAGGTTGAGCTTCACGGGTGGTGTATCAGGCGGTGATCATAGCTGATTCGAGTTGTTCGATTCTTTTGACGTAGAGAGCATCGACGTAAGCGGAGAGCGCCACTAATTAGTTTATTAATTACTAGTTATTGTTTAGAGTAGTGACTGTCATATATCATCATAACATAGTTAAGATTCATTCGCAGGAATGCCATCGGAACTGGAACTGGAAACTGCACCTGGACCTGAACCTGGACCTGGACCTGTACCTGGAACTGGAACCGGAATCAGATCTAATAATTGAGTCTAGAGCGTAAGTCTACCAGCGAGAGACAAAGCACCTGCGGAGCGAGGAGCCCGGAGAAAGGGAGCGCTTGGGAGGTGGCAGGAACGCCAACTGGTACTAGAACTGGTACTAGAACTGGTACTAGAACTGAAATTGAAAGTGGAATTGGAACTGGAACTGGAACTGTCTAAGGTGCAGGAGGAAGGTGAGAAGGGAAAGAACTCGTAGAATCTCGGTGTCCCCCCCAGTGAAGAGAGATCAAGCGGCGGAGCAATTGAGCAGCAGCAAGCAGTAGAGACACGTGTCATCTTCGACGGCCTGCAAGGAAGCTCTGGCTATGGCGTCCTCTCCATCACGCATTGATCGTCCCCTTCCTTTTACACGTGTCATCTTCTCACTGGCTGTCGTTTTCATTGTCGTCCTTCTCACTTCTGCTTCGCGGCCATGTGGGGCCCAGCCGGGAGCCAACACACAAGACGGTACGTTCGTCTGCCAGCTTGAAATTCATCGACTTTATGTGCGCCCTCGTTCCTCTCTTCCTGTCTTCCATGCTTCTGCCTAGCCACTCTCTCTCTCTCTCTGTCTCTCTCTCTCTCCTTCTCTCTCTCTGTGTCTATCTTTCTCCCTCTCTCTCTCTCTCTCTCTCTCTCTCTCTCTCTCTCTCTCTCTTTCTCTCTCTCTCTCTTTCTCCCTCTCTCTCTTTCTCTCTCTCTTTTTTGTTTTCTGGTGCTCTGGTTAGCTCGTCTCAGTCTACGGCTTTCTAATATTACCAATAATAATACCTGTACCTGACTACAATACACAGCCACATTCATGGAATGTGCGTGTCGTCCTTGATTTTATGGGGGCCATGCTAATTAATACTTTCTTTCCCCCCCCTTCCCCCCTCTTCCCCTCCCTTCCCCCCCCGGTTGTATCGCCACGAATTCAAACCCGGATGTCCCGAGGAAATAAGGACGATGACCTTCCCTGTTTTTGTTTTTTTTTATATATATTTTATTTTAACTGCGCTATGTTCTTCTCTCAAATCTTTCATCATCTTTCAAATTCTTTCAATTCACCTTCACTACCTTCACTACCTACCTACCACTACTCCTAAGGCTTACTTATACAGGGGACCCCTGCGAACATAGCTTTGTTGTCTCCCTCCAGCCATGAGAGAGGATGCCTGTTGCCCCCGACTAACCCAAAGACCGAGCATTTTGCCGGTAGCTGCGCCCCTCCCTTTTTCATCGTCCCCCCCGCCCAACCGAAATTACAGCAGTGTCTATCTAACGCCAACACTCTCCCAGACACCACTCACACAACCCACTCACACTCACACTCACACGCACACCCTTGCTCTCCAAGGACCCTGCTAATACCGATCAGAGGTATCTAGCGGACTATCACCGCTGGTTGGCACTAAGTGCGGTGCAGGCGGTTGTGGGGCTCGAACCCACAATCTCCTGAATGCCACTTGCGTGCCTAACCAAACACCTCTGTTCGTACGTATTTTATACATATATACTCCGACGAAACAGTTTGTCACAGCCCCTCGGTTGTTGTCCTCTTCTCCCTCTCTGCCTAGTACGGTTTACCGGGCAGCTCTGTTTGACGATATATATGTCATCACAAACAGAACTGCCTAATATACTATCTATTTGACGATATATATTGCCACTTATAATTGTGGATTTGTTATGATGCCAACAAAGTTTTGAGTGAATAGTGATAAAAACCAGAGGCCCAGAACTGTTTTTCGTGCACGCTTCCATACATATATATATTATATTATATTATATTATATTATATTATATTATATTATATATAATTGGGCGTCTCTCCACTACTCATCGAATGTGCAAAATAAGAATGGAAGCGCGGCCCGCTCATTACACAACTGCGTGCGCTGCGCTCAAAGAAACGCGCGTGAAGAAAAAAAAACTTGGAATGCAAAAAAAAAAAAAACAAGCCGTACGTACGTACGGCTTTTTTTTCTTCTTCTTTTATAGAAAAATAAAAGAAGAAAATTTAAACTGTCTCGTCAATGAATATCGATTGCCTCTCACTTCGCTGAGTGGAGTGGATTTTAGCGCATTTAATATTTGTTTTTTGAATGATTTTTTTGGGGATAGGCTTTGTAGGGGTATAGATAGCTGAAGCTTGGTAAGAATTTGTTTTTTTTTTTTTTTTTTTTTCCCCTTCTCCTAAAGAGGGGAGGCTTCCCCTCTCCAAGCTGATGATGCCTGGGCGGTGGAAGAGCGCGCTTGTTTGAAACAGTGTATGGGACGCCGCGCCGGGCATGGTTCCTGCCGTGTAATATAGTTTTATTTTTGAAAAAAAAAAAGAAACAAAAAATCGATTGCAGTTACCCTCACATCTCTAATTTCACTGTGGCAGAAGTTGACGCTCCCCTTCCTCCGCGCCCGCTCCCCCTTCCCC